AAGTGTAGACTACTCTTAGAGGTTTGGTGGTAAAGAAAAGAAGAGAGATAGGTTAATAGCCAGTGGTTATAGCAAAATCAAAGAAGGTTTTTGGTTTTGTTAGGAAACACTTGAATATTTTTGTAGGCTGACAGAAAAAGATGGGGTGAGAGAAGGAAGAGAGGGGAGACACACACAGAGAAACAGAGAGAGAGAGAGAGAGAGAGAGAGAGAGAGAGAGAGAGAGAGAGAGAGAGAATGTGGGGAAAGAAAGAAAAGAGTGACTGATGGAATAAAATCATGGCTAAAATAAGGGAAGAATGGAATAAATACATTTGTAAAATGTTACAGGTCAAAGAGATTAGCTTTCACAAGGAGGAAAGCCAATTCTTCAGAGACTAGAAGGAAGAGAGGAGGGTAATGAAATTAAGAAGTTGAGGAGTAAAAAATTAAGAGGGTTCACTTTGGATGTTATTAATTTTCTACAGGAAAGCAGGAGGCAAAATCATTTGCTGAGAATGATAAGGGCATAGAGTTGTGGGCTTATGCATTTGTTAAGCTCCTACCACATGCCAGTCTCTGTGCTAAGCAGTAGGGACAAAAAAGAAAAGCAAAAAACAGCCTCTGCCCTCAAGAAGCTCACAGTCTAATGGGGAAGATAACATGCAAACAACTATATACAAACAAGTTACATCCATGATAAATTGGAACTAATCTCTGAGGGAAGGTTCAAGATTAAAGAAGACTAGAAAAGGCTTGTTGCAGAAGATAGAGCATTAGTTGAGACTTGAAGGAAGTCAAGGAAGTTAGGAGGCACAGAGGAGATGGAGAAAATTCCAGACTGGGGCACAGCCGGTGAAAATGTCCTGAGTCAGGAGATGGAATGTTGTATGGTAAGAACTTCAAGGAGGCCAGTGTCTCTAGGTCCCACAGTGCATTAAGGTATTAAAAAAGACAGGAAAGGCAGGACGGTGATAGATTGTGATGGACTTTATGTGCTAAACAGAAGACTTTATGTTTGATCCTGGAAGTTATAGGGAGCTATTGAAGTTGACTGAACAGAGGACAAGAAGATGAGATTTTATCCTTAAGAAGGTCCATCGACAGTTGAGTGGAGGAGGGAATTCAGTGGGGAGAGATTTGTGGCAAGGAGACCAGCCAGCGGGTATGAGGTAAGGGGGCATATATGAGAGATATCGTGAAGGCAGAAACAATAGAACTTAGCAACAGAGAGGGTGTGGATGGTGAGAAAAAGTGAGAAGTCAAGGGTGACTCTTAGGTTGTAGCAGTACCAGGGAAGCTCGGGAGAGGGCAGGGCTTCTAAGGGGAAAGATAATGAATTTAGTTCTGGACATGTTTAAAGTGTCCTTGAGACATAGTTTGAGACATCCAGTAGACAGAGATGCAAGACCAAGTTTAGGAGAGAGGTTAGGACTGAACAAATAAATCTGAGAAGTATCTGCATTGCCCAGGGCAGAGCCTTAGTGGGCATGACCTGGATGAAGATACAGCAAAGAAGACTGAGGAGCAGAGACACATAGGAAGTGAATCAGGAGAGAACAATGTCATGAAAATTTAGAGAGAAAAGAGTGCAAGGAGAAGAGGATGGTAGTGTCAAAGATGGCAAAGAGGTCAAGAAGGGTAAGGATTGAGAAAAATCATTAGGTTTGGCAATTAAGAGGTCGTTGGTAACTTGAAAAGAGTAGTTTCAGTTCAAAGATGAGGTCAGAAGCTTGACTGTAGAGAATTAAGACAAGAGTGAAAGGAAAGAACTGGATGCACCTATTGTAGAGGGCCATCTCAAGTTTAGCCACCAAAGGGAGGAGAGATATGGGACAATAGTTAACAGAGAGGGACAAATGAAGTAAGGAGGAGGAGGGTTGTTTATTTTTTGAATGAGGGAGACATAGGTATGTTTGTTGGCAGCAGGGATCCCAAGTAACCAGCAGACAAGAAGAAATTGAAAATTAATGAGTAAATAAGGATAATAGAGGAAACAATCTGCTAGAGAAGACAGGATAGAATGGGATCGCTTGTACATACAGAGGGATTAGCCCTGAATAAAGGGAAGTTTTGAAACACTGTTCGGATTGTGATAGAGGGTCCATAAAACATGAAAAAAGGATTGTTGTGTGATAGTGATGGCTTAGGGGAGTTTGGATAGCATACCTTTTTAGTGGACCCAATTAGCAACATTTTTCTCTGTCAGCATTCAGGTGCTCAAGAGTAAAAACATCTTATATTTTGGTCACTATTGCAGTTATTAGATAAAATATAAATTTCATGTTGAGAAATCTATAACTGTTTTATTTTATAAGCTGAAATTATGACAGGATCTATAGAAGTTAGGTTGTTCCATCATTCTCCTTGAACATTTAAGTACTTTTTTATTATATATAAACTTAGCCATAGTCAATAAACACAAATAAACAAACTAAATATGGAACGGTTATATAAATAAAGCCTTAAAATCTGATTACTTGCATTTTTGCTTTGTTTTTTAAGATTCTAGACTATTGATCAAACTTTGATTTTCTATGTTTGTTCTTTTTTTAAAAAATTGCTTATGGAATACTTGTGTTGTCAGTACTGCTTTGGATATGGGAGACTAAAGCAGACACTATTCCAATCAGTCAGTCAAAAATTTATTAAGCACCTACTTTGTTTCAGGCACTGTGCTAAGCAGTAGCGATACAAAAAGAGGCAAAAGATATTCTCTGCTCTCAAGGAGTTCACAAGCTAATTGGTGAGACAACAAGCAAATAAATCTGTACAAAAAAGCTGTGTGCAGGAAAAATAGGAAATAATTAGATGAGGGAAGGTCTTACAATTAAGAGGAGTTGGGAAAGACTTTCTGGAGAAGAGAAGGGATTTTAGCTCCAGATTTTACCAGTTTGGTGATGTCATTGAATTGGCTTCCAATAACTATTTTTGGAGGTTTCTGGGAGAGAGAAGATGGAGTAGTTCTATCTCCATTTTGCTGGTTTGCTCCACAGAGGAAGAATGGTCAAATTGTTCTCATAATCTCTAGGTACCAGCTCTCCTTTTCCTTTCTTCCACAACTCTATAAGTTCCTTTTGTGGAAGATGGGAGTCAGAAACAGAGACCAATGCTCTTTCCCTCCACCAAGACCTGATAGAGTACATTGGTGAGATTTCAAAGCAACTAGAAAGTTTTTCTTTTCTTCCGTCCCTTGTTTGTTAAAGGGTGGTGGTAGTGGTGGTGGTATCGTCTTGAACCTCAGATCTCTTAAACTGGTGGTCCCTTTCGTGGTCCCTTTTCACTTTGGGAGAGGACAAAGCTTAGGGGAAGAAATTGATTCTATTCTTCATTGCAGGTAGCCCAGGTAGTTGTTTTTTTTACAAATGATTTATTCCTCAGTTGCTTGACCTTATTATTTTTTTTCTTTTTTCTTTTTTCTTTTTTAGGCAAGTGGGGTTAAGTGACTTGCCCAGGGTCACACAGCTAGTGAGTGTCAAGTGTTTAGTCTGAGGCCGGATTTGAACTCAGGTCCTCTTGACTTCAGGGCCGGTACTCTATCCACTGTGCCACCTAGCTGCCACCTTGACCTTATTATTATTGCTTATGAATTTGTTCTTTCTACTCAATATTTTTTTAAAAATTAATTTTTTTAAAAAAAGCTGTTAAATCCTTGCCTGTAGAAATTTAGGAAAGTTTTTTTTTTGCTCCCTTGAGAAAGAAGGGACATCCTTTTTTCAATGTGGCTAAAGTCTTAGATGGGGGGGAGAGGGAAGGAATATGGACACTGTTCCCATATCAAAGTTCTAGGGGCAAGGGAAGCATCCTGTTGGTATATCCTTAGGCAATCGTAAGTTTCCTTAAACAGAGGTGACTATGAGCAGAAAAAGAAGATAGGTAGACAAACAGACAGACAGACAGGCAGACAGATAGGTAGGTAGGTAGATAGGTAGATGGTAAAACATTTATTATGTAACACATAGCACTGGGGATACAAATAAAAGCAAGCAGGTTAGTTCTTGCCCTCAAGTAGCTTACATTCTAATGGGGTAGACAACACATAAAAGTGTGTTGGAGGGGAAGTGGTTGAACCTGAGGACACTGTTTGGAGCTATCGGTGAGACATGAAATGGGGGCGTGATTCCTAGAGAGATAATGCAAAAGATCACTTATCATATATTCTTTCCATTTTACACAGAGAATGAAAAACCTATAAATAGGTTAAATAACTTGCCCAAGATCATAGAGGAAATGTTTCATAGGCAGAAATGAAGCCTACATTCCCTGATGACTAATCAAGTATTATGTGTGACTGCTTCTTTAAAAATATATATATTCAAAATATGAGATAGATGACTAAGGAACACAAAGTACTTGAGTTAAAGCTTATGAACTTGAGATCAGAAAGACCAAAGCAGGAAATAAGATAAAGCTTGCACTGAGTGAGAGTTTTTGCTTCTGTTTTTATCTCCTCTGATGCATTGCTCCTTCATTTGGTCCTGCTTTCAGTCTCACTATTTCAACTCATCAGCTAATGATTTTATATCTTGTTGTTATTCATGTTCTGCTCTCAGATCATCAGTATCACCTGTGAGCCACACATGGCATAGCAGAGGATCATCAACAGTTACTGTGAGGATGATGTGTTCTTCTCATTTGCAGGGACCGAAGCTTGTGCCCATCAACAAATCTACAGTACAACTCAGTTACAATCTGTAATACCATTTGTATCACTAAACAATTTGCACACAAATGAATACACATAAACTGAATATGTATATATACATACATACATACACACATATGTTAGAACACTTTCCAAGTAGTACTCTGTATCTAATAACTGTATTTGAAATTTTCAACCAAAATTTACCTTGTCCATTTAGAGTCACTTGAAACTTCTCCAAGAAGAACAGACAATCCTAATTCAGTAAGTGAACTTCAACAACTCACTTCAAATACCACAACTTGAAAAAACATTCCCTATCATCCTAAGATACCAGCTCATTGAAGAATTTAATCCAAGTTTCATTGTCTTCCAGGCCATATAAATCTGCACTTCCATCTTCAGAGTGAAGAATCAGAAGGAATATTCCTGGATAACATCAGCCAACGTGGGTAATGGGACAAAATAAGAAATCACATTCAGGTGAGGTTTGTGCTACACTGAAGCCAGTATTTTAATACAGAAACAATATTTGCTATAACACAACTATCAAGGTATGAAAAGAAATGGAAAACTATTATTTAAATGCATAGTGAATAAAAGATTAGGCAAGAAGCTATCTCACTAGATAGGGAAAAAAACTAATAATAGATGATGTCAAAAGGCTTATTTTTGTTATTTTAGCTCTATCCTTATAAAAAAAAATTCAAGTTATAATTTAAAAATATGAACATGCAAAACAAACATTGGAGAGTAGGGAAAGCAGGGGAAAAATATTTAGAGATTGTTTAAATTAAGGTCAATTGATTCAGATTTTAGACTAAAAATAGGCACCTTAAGACTCTAAAAGATTCAGCCTAAATTGTTATAGGACTATTGGCTATCATTTTTGGGAATTCATAAGAGTTCTAGGGTTCAAAGGCTGGTAATGGGTCAGATTGATGTCTATGTTTTTAGGAGCCAAGGAGCACAATTATATTGTAGGTCGAAGCAAGGTAGTGACTGCTCAGAAGCCAGAAATATAGTAAAAAATAAAACAAGAAGTTACACAGAAACCTTGAAATGAAGCATCATCTAATTTATCAAACCTCGGATATTTCTTGCTCAGGTAGCAGCTCTTCTTAGGGCATGGTAAACTTGGGGTCTTCAGGTGAAAGCAGAATATGTGGCAAGGGCAGATCTTGATTGCTTACCTGGCTCCTGAGCCCCTGCTTCCTCATCAATTTCAAAGTCCTTCACAGCTATGCAACTCGGATAACAAGGGGTCTGAAGATGCAAAAGGGGTCATGCTAGTTTTAGGAAGGGCTCAATGATCCATCTGAGTTGAACATCCAAATGGAGGAGATCATGATCTTCTTTAATCTTTTCCATCAATGCCTCCAGATTATAGACCAGTAACATTCTTGCAACTAGAAATTGAGTTCCTTCATTATGTTAGATTTGGCCTGTTGAGATCTTTTTGGATCTTAGACTCTGTAATCTACCATGTTAGCTGCCTCACCCAACTTTGTGTCATCCACAAATAAGATAAAGCATATGTCTCTGCCTTTATGTAAGTCATTGATAAGAACGTTAAACGATACAGGGCCAAGGACAGATAGATGCTGGGATACTCCTTGAGGGACTCTTTAAGTTGACGTTGACCTGTTAACACTGACAGTGAATTTTGGGGTCTAGTCATTCAGATGCACCTCACTGTACCATTATCTAGTTAGCACATCTCTCCTACCTGATTGCAAATCTATGCACCTGTGGTTTTCTGGAAGTTTACAAATGACATCTAGAATTCACTGGACTGGTGGTATAGGGCTATCTACTTAGATGGTATCCTGCTGGAAAAGTATGCTTTTAATGTTGGAGTGGTTAAATACTGAGGTTATGTCATCTCTTCAAAGGGTACCTGGATGAAACCATGGAAGACTCATATGGTCCTGATCCAGCAAGCACTCACAACACCAAAAGACCCCTAGCACTTCCTAGGGTTTCATGTGGCATTTTAATTATTCTATACCCCTGCTTCTTCAGCTTGACCACACCTCTCACCAATATCTTGCAGAAAAATCATGCTTTTCATTAGCTGGTCAGTACCCATAAGACTTTTTAAATAATAAGAGAATGTTTTACCTCAGTACTCATACTGGTATAATAACTACCTAACAGGCAGCTAGTGGTCCAGGAAATGGAATGCTGGACCTGGAGTCAGAAAGACCTGAGTCCAAATTTGGCCTCAGACACCTAGTAGCTGTGGCAACCTGGGCAAGTCACTTAAACCTCTGTTTGCCTCAGTTTCCTCACCTGTAAAATGAGGATAATAATAACACCCACCTTGCAGTGTTGTTGTGAGGATCAGATGAGATAATATTTGTAAAAAGTGCATATATGTATTTATACACACACACACATATGTTTATGTAAGTATATATATATATATATATATACATATATATACATATATATACATATATATACATATATATATACATATGTTTATGTAAGTATATATATATATACATATATATACATATATATACATATATATATTATATATATATATATATATATATATATATATATATGTATGTGTGTGAATAGTCAGTGCCTATACATAGTAGGCACTATATCAGTGCTTATTCCCTTCCCCTTCCCTTTCTGGTTATCATGCTAGGCTTCTTCTTTTTGTTATTAACCTCAAATTCAGTATCTTAGTTCTAGTTCCCTGTTCTGCCATCACAATTTACTGGTATACACAATCCAAAACCGATATTCTGGTAGCTCCAGACTTAGAATCATAGAATGTTAGATCTGGACGGGACTAGAGAAATCATGGGACCACAGATTAAAAGATAAAAGGGACCTATAAGGTCATCTAGTCCAGCCTCCTTATTTTACAGATGAGGAACCCAGTCTCAGAGAGGTTGCCATATAGGAAAGTGTAATGGTATAGTGAGAAAAGCAATTATTTAGAGTCAGAGGAATTTAGACCTTTGCAATGTAAGCTCCTCATGAGGAGGAATTGTTTCATTTTGGGGCATTTGTATTCCTAGCACCTTACATATAGTAGGTGCTTAATAAATATTTGTTGGCTGATTGATTGATTGACCTGCATTTATATCTTTGCTTTGCCACTTGCTACTTCTATCTAATCTTTATTCTCTTCCTATCTACATGTTTCTTAACCTGATTCCTACAAATATGTAATATCTCCCCATCCTTAAAAAAAAAAACCCTCACTAGATCATACCATACCAGCTAGCTATAGTCTAAATCTCTCCTCCCTTTCTCATCTAAACTCTTTGATAAAGCTGTCAATACTTGGTGCTTCCACTTCATTTTCTCTCATTCTCTTCTGAACCCTTTGAAATCTGGCTTCCAACCACATATTTTAACTTAAACTAAGGTATTAAATTAGATACCATTGGTATCTAACCATAGACCAGCCAAGATGAAGAGTAGGGGGAAGCAGTACAGCTTAGTCCCTCCCCCCCAACTATTCTACAAAGACCTAGAAAATGCACCAGACCAAATCTTGATCAGGAAATCAAAGGAAAAATCACATAGAGTCATCTTAGACTCCCCCTAAATCTTCCACCCTCCACTTTCCTTATTCCTTTAAAGAACAGCATCCTCCCAATACCTGAGGCTCACAACCTAGGAATCATCCTAGATTCCTCACTATCTCCCCTCTCCCCCAATATCCAATCTCTCACCAAGGTCTGTCGATTTCATCTTTGAAACATCTCTTTAGTATGCCCCCGCCCCTGACACTGCCCCAGCTCTACTGCAGGCTCTCATTACCCCATGCCTGAACTACTGCCCGTAGCCTGCTGGTAGGTCTGCCTTCCTCAATTCTCTCCCCACTTCAATCCATCCTCCATTCAACCACTAAAGTGATTTTTCTAAAGTGCAGGTCTGATCAATAAGCTCCAGTGGTTTCTTATTGCTTCCAGGAGCAAATATAAAATGCCCTATTTTGGCACTCAAAGCCTTTCATAAACTAGCCCCCTCCTGCATTTCCAGTCTTCTTATTCCCCAACACGTACTTTTTGATCCAATGACTGTGGCCTCCTTGCTGTTGCATGAACAAGACACTCCATCTCTTAGCTTTGGACATTTTCTCTGGCTGGCCCTCGTGCCTGGAATGTTTTCCCTCCTCTGATCTGAATATTGACCTCCCTGGCTTTCCTTTAAGTCCCAACTAAATGTTTGAACACCAAAATAGAAATTCTGAATATCAAAGAAGAGACTGACAAAAATTGAAAGCAATCTCCCTCCCATTGAATTAATAGTTAAAACTAGGAGATTTTCTTTAAAAAAAAAACCACAGTAAAATAGATAAACCTATGGTTAATCTGATTTTTTTAAAGAGGAAAACCAAATTACCAATATTAAAAATTAAAAACATGAATTCACAAGAAATTAAGAAGAAATAAAGGAAATTATTATAAAATATTTTGCCCAATTATATGCCAGTAAAACTGAGTACTTAAATGAAATGGATGAATATTTACAAAACTATAAAATGTCCAGATTAACAAAGAAATAAAGGACTTAACCTATTCTCAAAAAAAATTGAACAAGACATAAATTCCCAAAGAAAAAACCCAAAGATCAGTTGGATTTATGAGCAAATTTTATTAAACACTTAAAGAGAAATACATGTTTATATTTTCTATATGTTACATTGTTATCTATGTATGTATGTATGTGTGTATATATAAACCAGGCAGATGCAAGATATATACAAACTAGATACAAAGTTGCCCTAAAGGTTATTTTACATACACATACACACATACACACATACACACAGAGTCCCAAAAGATTGAGTGTAATTTTAAACTTTAATAATTTAAAATTACTCTATGATTTTTGGAATACTGCATGCATATACATACATATACACATACACAATGCATATATGCATGTACACACATTTGTGTGTGCACACACGTAATACACATGCACATGTATATGTGCACATGTACATAAATGTGTATGTGTATGTATGTACATACATTGTCTTCTCCATTAGGATATTAGCTCCTTGAGGGCATGGATGATTTCTACTTTTTCTTCACATCCTTCATGTTTAGCACAGTGCCTGGTACATAGTAAACATTTAATAATGCTTGTTAATTGATTGATATGGCAAGTCATTTCACATCTTTGAGACTAAGTTTTTTCATCCATAAAAAGGGATGATCAGAGAGGGGAATGATTTGACAGGATGGTTCCTTCCAGTTATAAATGTATGATGATCCTATAATGATGTTGTCCAAAGTCAAACAGTTTGCTTGATGGTAGAATTAGGACTATTACTCAGGTGTCCTAACTCCCTAAACCCCTAAAGGGTCTAAATATGGTCTTATCACTAGCAGTGGTATAGATTGATGTTATTGTATCCTATTATATTGTAAAACCAATTAGTTTTTTCTTGATTATCCTCATGTCCTTTTTATTATTGACAAAATATAAAAATATTATAATCAACAAAAAACCTGGGAGTGCATACTTACCTTTTTCACATCAGAGTTAATTTTTCCATATTGTATGTAGTGAGCTTGTAATTTCTCAGCTTTCTAAGCTAATATTCCTAGGAGAAAAATTCACCAGCAATCGACTGGCAAATATTTACAGCAGAATGGAACACTGACTAATGAGTGTAGCTTAGTAACAAGGAAATCCTGTTAGACCAACATGATCTTCTTAGGTGTGGTAACTTACTGACAGTAGCAACTCACCGAAATTTAGGACTCTGGAACCTCCCTTATTGTCATCAATAGCAATCTTCAGTAATCAATAAGCTTAGCTATTTCTGCCTGAATGAAATCAACAGATATATTTGGCAAAGTTTGGACTTTATCCTTATTGACATTCATTTATAGTCATCTAAAAATCAATAAGCCTAAGATAGAAATTGTTATCTCCCCCTACCCTCCACCCTTCTTCCAAATTTCCTTATTACTGTTGAGGGCACTGCCATCCTTCTAGTCGCTCCGTTTACAATGTCAGTTTCATCTTTGATTCCTCTCACTAACTCCACACAACCAATCTGTTGCTAAATCTTGTCATTTCTACCTCCACAACATTTCTTAGATACCTTCCCTTCTTTCCACTTATACGGCCACTATCCTAGTTCAAGTCCTTATCACATATGGCCTAGAGACTATTATAAAAGCCAAGATGCTGTACTGGGTCCCTGTCTCAAGATTCTTCCCTCCAATCTATGCTCTACACAGCTGCCAAATTGATTTTCTTATTCACCCCTTAGTCAAAAGGAAGTTGATAACTGGAGTTCAGGAGGGAAATAAGGGCTGGATATATAGATTTTTGAGTGATCTACCTAAGAATGATAATTGAACCCATGAGAGCTGATGAGATCACCAGTGGAGAGAATATGGAGAAAGAAGAGAAGTCCAGGACAATGGGCAGATGTGGGATGATGACAGAGCAAAGGAAATTGAGAAAGAAGATTCAGATAGGTAGGAGGAAAACCAAGGGAGGCAAGAATATACATATAAAGAATCTAACTCTAGATAATTACATTTTAAATACTCTAATTCAAATCACAAAAGGCAGCATGATATAGTGAATAAAGAGAGGACCAGCCTTGGAGTCAGGATGACCTGGAGTTCAGGTTCCAGTTCTGTCATATGTGTGTGACTATGAATAAGTCACTTATCCTTTCAAGGAACTATAATCTCTCTTAATCTTTAGTAACTCTTTCAACTATTAGAACTTGAAAAGAAGGCAAATTATATTTATATTTTTCAAACTTTTAGTTCTTATGCTTTTCTGAAGTCCAGAAACCTTTTTAAGCCTAGGGAGAAGAGCTTTGCTTTGGGGGCTACTTTACCTGTTCCCTCTTATTTTTTTAGTTGTTGCTACTATCATTTCTCACCAGTGTTAAATGCCTTTTTACTAGCAGAAATGGATTTTTGTTAGTGTTTTTTACTCTTTTGTGCTGATCACTACAATACACATTAGTATCCCAAATTCTGATTTCATCATTGCTATTAGACAAAATCAGATGCCTAATTCTTATGTGTATATTTATATTAAATATTAATTAAAGGCAATGACAAGTGTAATGTATATTATTGTTACTGCTAGTCACTTATTATTCAGTCAATTTAGATTTTCTTCTCTCCTTTTCGAAGGGATCTTTGTGGCTTTTTGTTGCTAAATTCTTTGAGGTTTTGTCTTTGAAGCAAGTTTTTCAGCTTCCAGACAATAAATATGGTTATGTTTTCAGAATATGTAATTTGGGGGTAATTTTTAAAAATCATTGCATATTTTGGTTTACCTTTGATATTTTTTTCTTGTTTTTTTTTCTATACAACTCTGATTGGTATTGTTTAAAATATGACCTTTTTTCTTTCTTGATGCTTAAGAGAATTTTTTCTTTTAAATTTTGTTGTTTTACAATTGTGTCAAAGTTAGTATTTCTCCTTGTTATTTTCCTTCATGTTCTCTCTATTTGAAAGTATTGCCTAGTCTAGTCCATTGTGAAAATTTCTCTTTTGAGGTGCTTTAAATGCCTAGATTTTTTTTTCTCAGTATAATAAAGGGAAATCTCTTTGATCTCTTAGAATAGGGTTCTTCCCATGGAGCTGAGCATGTGCCCTGGCCCCTTCCAGTGGTCAGGTCTCTTGCTAAAAGGGCATGCTCTGCCAGAGGCTCCCAGTCAGTCCCTTGGACCTGTGAGAGGCATCACTGAGGAGCTGTGCCGGAGAGGATTGGCCACTGAGCCAGGAGAAGCCACCCATCTCATGAGACTTTAAGAAGAATGACTACCCACTCTCACTCCCTCTTCATTTCCCCAGTGAGCATGTCACTTGGGACTCAGGTAGTCTTTCCCTTAGATTTCTTGTGTGGGGATCCCTCATTTACCCTAGCAGCAATGATAACTATGAGCCCACAGCAATGATAATATGTGCCACTTGTTGGAGTAAAACTGGGTCTAGACTTCCAGTCCTTGACCTACTCTTCTGCTGTATGTTTTTTTGCCTGAGCCCATGTGACCACACACTGATACTGAGACAGGTATTTTTAGTGTTGGCAGCAACCTTATGGGTTCAAGAGGTTGGACACTTTTGGGTCCAGGTTGTGGTTGCTCAGGAGGAGCGGTGATCTCTGTAACAACTCAGAGGAGAACATAGCTCCTGCTGGGAGGATACTACAGATGAAAGAATTAAGAAAGTCTAAGACAGGGCATGGCTTGCCAGGAGATTGAGACTTGTGAGCTAAGCAGACAGGACAAGTCAGAAGTAAAAGCGAAATATCTGTTCAGCAGACCCGCAAGTCTCCCACGAGTTTTTTGTCTCTTAGAATGGTATAAGATGGATGGAGAACTTTGTCATTTTAAAAGTACTTATCAACGTTTGCTTGTGAGGTTTTTGTGTTTTAGGCATTTCTTTTGTTGTAAATGAAATAAATTGTTGTCCTATACCTTGATCTACTTTGTACACTGAGTACCATTCTTGAAGGGTCATATGTTTTCCTCCCTTTTCAGTTCCACAGGATAAGAAATTCCACACTAGTTTATCACAAAACAAGGGACACCTGAATTGTTATGGAATATACTATAGGTATATAAAGGTTAATTTTAATGATAACTCTCACAAATAATAATAGTTAATATTGATGTATCTTTAAAGTTCACAAAACACTTTATGTATGTTATCTGATTTGATCATCACAGCAACCTCATGAGGCAGATGCAATTACCCTCATTTTACACTGAGGAAAATAAGACTCAAAAAGTTTAAATGACTTTAAGGCTCCCATAGACAGTAAGTGCACAAGGCAGCTTGGAAACCCAGGTCTCCCTGACTCCAAGGGCAGTGCTCTGTCCATTGTACAATCTACTACTACCTAAATCTGAGGCTTTCTAGCTTTTTTGAGAAAGGAAGGGGAAAGGTTACTTTTGGCAGCTGTTTAAGTCCTACTTTGATGCTACTCCTGAAGGAATATACCTTCAAATGAAGGCAGAGGCCTAGGGCCTATTCCCAAGTGTGAATTGTGGAGAAATACCAAAGTACTAGCCAAAGGCTTAGAGATGGCAAGTCAAGTGATTCTTTTTTCCTTTGAGTTAAGAGCAGCTTAACCTAATTATCTCTCAGTAAATCTGCAGAGATATTTTTGGCATGCTTTTGCAGTACTAGTAAATATTGCTTTTAACTGGAAACTCCCCCCCCCAAAGCTCTCATATAGAAACTAAACCTTGTAATCTTCATTCCTCCCTTATGTCAGCATGGACCACTCTGATTTTGAAAGTAACTTCAGCAAAATCCCCTGGTTTCTATTTTATTAAGATAAGAGTCTCATTCATTTCACTGGTAAGATACTAAGCTGAACTCATTATATTGTCCCTATTGAGTACCATGGAACTTATATCCTTTTGACACTCACTGGTCTCGTGGTCATACATACCTGTCAATGTAAAATCTTTAAAAAACAAAAACAACTGTAATGAAACATGTGTCTGAGTGACATAAGAGAGGGAAAAACAGTTATCTTATAAAGCTGAATTTTGAACTGAAATTAGAATTAATTTGTACTAGAAATCAAGATTAAAGAATAACAGCTTCCTTTATAGACCAAAAGCTTGTTTCATTCATGTTGTTTCATTACAGTTGTTTTTTAGTTGTTTTTCTTTATAATTTTGTTTTTATAGTACAAATTATTCTATAGTGCAAATTATTCACTCTGCAACAGTTCCTACAAATTTTCCAAGTTTATTCTAAAACTGTCTATTCCATCATTTTCTATGTCATAATGATATTTCATTACATCCACGTATCCTCATTTGTTTAGTCACTCCCCAAATGATTGTTCTCCTCTCACTCAATTCTTATCTCCTACTAGGTTAGAAGATATCATATCATGATATCCTAAGATATCAAAGGATTGGAAGGGGCCTTGGGGTCATCTAATACAACCCCCTCATTTCACAGATCCTTAGGCCCTGTCCACTCTATCCCTTTCCATTTTTCCAACTTAATCTTATCAAGCATTTTTTTTCCAGATATATTCTACTTGTGTAACATTCTACTTTCACCTATACACAACACTGGTGTTAGCAATTTTTTGTTGACAGTTGAACCTTTACCAAATAAAATCATATGTCAGGGAGTCTAAATTTTCAGTCTGCACACTGACAAGGTGAGTAGCACCAGAAGTCTGTTATCACCCAATTTGCCCTTTTCCCACAATATTCTTTATGAGAGAAAGTTTATCTTTGGAAAATTATGTGTACTGTTCTCTGTATTATTAATTGATAGCTTTCTTCTTCATAAGAATAATGGTTGTTAAATTTGCAAGCCAACAAATAAACACAAATCAGTGTGATCTTTTTTTCATGAGCTGTCTTAATCTGAAACAGTTTCTGATGTGCCAGCCAGAATGCTTCCCTGAGCAGTAGAGTTTCCATATATGAAAGGCTTGTCATAATTATATCCCCTTTTTAAAAATAAGCCCTGTTGTGCTAAATCAAAATATATTTAAGAAATAATGTGCATGGCAGAAGAGTATAAAAAATCATGAACCGCTTTTGTGGATGATTAAAAGCCAAAAGGAGGCCTTGGCATCAGGTAACCACAAATGCAGTGATTGGGATTATATTCCAGTGCCACAAACATTATTAATATATAACCAGAAGAACCAACAAACCACAACATGGGGGTGGGGAGGAAGCATCTTGCTTTTTCTTCATTGTTGGGGCTGGATATAGGAGTTATGAGTAGGAGGTTCTCGAAGGGTGTATGGGGTGTTCAGGGAGGACCAGCACCTCTGGCATGAGGGCCTGTGGAGCCCTTTTCAGAGCTGCTCATTCACCTTTGGTGTCCATCTGTCATCCAACTCATACCTGTGGCTCTAAGAAGCTGGAGCATGCACATCAACCACCCCGGGTAAAAGAGTCTCGACAGGAGGGCTTAACCAGGTTGAGGGTAAACAACAGGCCTCAAACCTATCAGTAAGTTAGGGGATGTCTACCCCAAGCATGTGAAGAATGGGTAGATGAGAACAATTTGTTCCAACAACCATGAAGGCAGCTGAAGCAAGTGCTGTAGAGTGCTTAGAACCTGGTCAAACACTGAAGACTCCAAGGTCACCTGCTGCATCCCCGGCTGTTGCCAGTCATTTTGACTTCTGTCCAGCCACTGGACTTGTAGGACTCTGGAAGAAAACGTGAGGCTGACGACTTTGCACAAATCTGTCTCACTTAAATCCAATTCACAAGTAAGTCAAGATATCACCCATCATCCACTATTCTACCTCAGCATTATGATGTTGGTGGTCCTCTTTGAAAACAAAGGACAAACAACAAAATGCACACATTGCAGACAGCTGCTTCAACTGCCCTAGAGTTGGAACAACATTCCAGGTTTCAAAGCGTTTGTGTCCCATCAGGTCATCTTTGTTCTCTAATTCAATTAAATAAACATTTATTAAGTGCCCAAGGTATTCACAGCACTGTGTAAGGGGCTCTGGGAATACGAGGAAAAAAAGCAGACTCAAAGAGCTTATGTTCTATGAGGGCACAGAACTTGCAAATAGGTGACAAAAAAGGAGGTAATTTGAGCAGGGGGAGAGAGAGGAAGGAAGAGGGAGAGAGGGAGAGAGAGAGACGGAAAGAGAGAGAAAAAAGAGAGAGAGGGAGGAGAGAGACAGCGGGAAGGAGGAAGGGCAGGGGAGGGAGAGAGAGAGAGAGAGAGAGAGAGAGAGAGAGAGAGAGAGAGAGAGAGAGAGAGAGAGAGAGAGAGGGAAGAAGAGACAGAATAGAGAAGAGAGAAATGGTAACAGCTAGAGGGGAATCAAGAAAGACTGAGTAAGAAGTGACTCCTTATCTGCATCTTGAAGGAATCTAAGGGTCTGACCTCAGGAGGTGAAGGAGGCAGTATATTCCAGGCATGGGGGACAGCCAGTGCAAGAACACAAAGGTGGGAGATGGAAAGTGAAGTTCTAGGAACAGTAGGAGGTGAGTTTGGCTGAAATGTATAGTGCAGGAAGGGGAGTAATATGAAATAGAACAGGAAAAGTGCACTGGAGCTTGAGTTTAAAAGCTTTCAAATATTCCACCAATGAGCTAGTGCTTATCCAAGAAGCAATAGGAAGCCACTGGAGATTCTTAAGCAGGGGAGTGATGGTCAGATCTGTGCTTTAGGAAGCTTACTACAGCAGCTGTGTTTGAAGATACTTGCTAAATATGGTTGGTCTTCACAGTCTGACCAATAAATAGCTGGAGATGAGTGGATCTAAGTGGGATACCGAATAGTTTGTTGAAGGCAAGGCATTAGAAGAAAATCACAAGGGAGAAAAATCAGGGGGAAAAAAAGGGATGGGGTGGTGGGCGGAGGCGGGGGGAGGAAGGTAATGTGAAGGACCTAAGTTTAAATCCTACCTCAGATGCTTATGTGACCTTTGTTGTTGAATCGTGTTCAGTTATGTCTGACTCGTTGTGACCCCATTTGGGGTTTTCTTGGCAAAGATACTAGAATGATTTGCCATTTCCTTCTCCAGTTTGTTTTACTGATGAGGAAACTGAGGCTCAGGATCACACAGCTAGTAAATGTCTGAAGCTCGATTTGAACTCAGTAAGATGAGTCTTTCTCACTCCAGGCCAGGCACTCTATCCACTGTGCCACCTAGTTGCCCCCATAAGCATTTATTAAGCACTTACTGTAAGTCTGTCACTACATTAAGCTCTGGGGATACAAAGAAAAAAACAGTTAACTAAAAAGTGTTCATTCTAGTGTGTGAGACAGCAGCTTCCCTGTGTGACTGTGGACAAATCATATAGCTTCTCCAGGCCTCAGTTTCCTCACCTGTGAAATGAAGGGGTTACATACTAAATGGCCTCTGAGTTACCTTCTGCTCTAGATCACATGATCCTATCACTCATTGTCCCTTCTAGCACCAAGATTCTATGAGTCTGTGATTTTAATTGAAAAAAAAAACCACACCAACACATGAATATTAGAAGGAAGGGAAAAATCATTAAATAACATGTGAGCAACTGCATGCCAATGTAAGGAGTCCTACTACCATGATAGAATTAGCCAAGAAGGGATTCTTGGGGGTCATTTCCACCACCACTCCCAAGCCCACCCTTTCCAGGGCTGAAATTATTTTTTTTGTCTTTATATTCCCAAGGCCAAGCACAGAGTCTTACACAAAGGTGCTTAATAAAAGCTTGTTTGATCAATTGAGCTAGATCTTGAAAGAAGATTGATGGACTACAGATGAGAGGGCAAGTATATTAGGTACAATAAAGAGATTTGACTTGATAATGTTTATCTGTGACATTTTCCATTACCTGTACTTGTAAATTCTCATTAGCAAGGCAAATCCCTAGAGCAGTTGGTTAGCAGCTTCTAGGTACCATGCCTGTAATTTAGGTAACTGCCATTCAGTTGTAAGCTCCTTGAAGGCTCCTTTCTTCTTCCTCTATC